CAATTCTTTACACTATCTTTGAGGTAAGCGTTAGAGGCTCTGGTATTGCATGCTGTTTTTAAGAATCACAAAATTTTAAACTTTGAACCTACCTTCTGCTTTACAGATGACTTAGAGTGTCAGCAAGCAATTTCTAGGTACTTTCTGACTATCAGAATTGTTCTGGGTGCTGAAATACACAGGTGAAGAAGACATATTAGGACCATATCATGGGACTCTTTTTGACTGGAGAGTATCATCATCCAGAGTCTATAAAAGGTTACCAAGCACTGAAGTTTCTCTCCTTGAAGAAATCAGGTTATTTGGGAGAAAAAAAAGGAGTCTTAGAAAAAAACTTTAGTAGATCTGATTGTATCTTTCTCTTACTTATGAATGTTCAGTAAGTTTCCATTAACTACAGGATAAAACCTGTGTGTTTTTTTTTTAATAAAACCTGTATGTTTTTTAATAACATACATGCATGGCCTGTTATGATTTGTTCTCTTCAGGATTTACCAGTAGATCTTGGTTTTAGCAGACTTATCTCTAAGGAAACTTTTTTGTTCTGATATAATTTACTCATCAAATCACCTTTTCACTCAATATGATGATTTTTGGATTGGGTTTTCCTGTCACCTAGGATACAAGAATACACAGAAGAACAATACAAAAAAGATCTTCATGAGCCAGATAACCACGATGGTGTGATCACTCACCTAGAGCCAGACATGCTGGAATACGAAGTCAAGTTGGCCTTAGGAAGCATCACTATGAACAAAGCCAGAGAAGGTGATGGAATTCCAGTTGAGCTATTTCAAATCCTAGAAGATGATGCTGTGAAAATGCTGCACTCAATATGCCAGCACATTTGGAAAACTCAGCAGTGACCACAGGACTGGAAAAAGGCAGTTTTCATTTCAATCCCAAAGAAAGGCAATGCTAAAGAATGTTTAAACTACCACACCATTGCGCTCCTCTCACATGCTAGCAAAGTAATGCTCAAAATTCTCCAAGCCAGGCTTCAACAGTACATGAACTGAGAACTTCCAGACTTTCAAGCTGGATTTAGAAAAGGCAGAGGAACCAGCGATTACATCGGCAACATCTCTCGGATCATCGAAAAAGCAAGAGTGTTCCAGAAAAACATATACTTCTGCTTTATAGACTATGCCAAAGCCTTTGACTATGTGGATCACAACAAAATGGAAAATTCTTAAAGAGATGGGAATAGCAGACCACCTGACCTGCCTCGTGAGAGATCTATATGCAGGTCAAGAAGCAACATTAGAACTCGACATGAAACAACAGACTGGTTCCAAATAGGGAAAGGAGTATGTCAAGGCTGTATATTGTCACTCTGTTTATTTAACTTCTATGCAGAGTACATCATGTGAAATGCTGGGCTGGATGAAGCACAAGCTGGAATCAAGTTTGCCAGGAGAAATATCAGTAACCTCAGATATGCAGATGACACCACCGTTATGGCAGAAAGCAAAGAACTAAAGAGCCGCTTGATCAATGTGAAAGAGGATAGTGAAAAAGCTGGCTTAATACTCAACATTCCGATCCCATCACTTTATGGCAAATAGTTGGGGAAACACTGACAGACTTTATTTTTGGGGGCTCCAAAATCACTGCAGATGGTGACTGCAGCCAAGAAATTAAAAGATGCTTGCACCTTGGAAGAAAAGCTTTGAGAAACCTAGCCAGCATATTAAAAAGCAGAGACATTCCTTTGCCAACAAAGGTCCATCTAGTCAAAGCTATGGTTTTTCCAGTAGTCATGTATTGATGTGAGAGTTGGACCATAAAGAAAGCTGACTGCAGAAGAACTGATGATTTTGAACTGTGGTGTTGGAGAAGACTCTTGAGAGTCTCTTGTACTGCAAAGAGATCAAACCAGTCAATCTTATAGGAAACCAGTCCTGAATATTCATTGGAAAGACTGATGCTGAAGCTGAAACTCAAACTTTAGCCACCTGATTTATTTGAAGAACTGACTTGTTAGAAAAGATGCCGATTCTGGGAAAGATTGAAGGCAGGAGGAGAAGGTGACAACAGAGGATGAGATGGTTGGACAGCATCACCAACTCGATGGACATGAGTCTGAGTAAGCTCCAGGAGTTGGTAATACACAGGGAAGCCTAGCATGCTGCAGTCCATGGAGTCACGAAGAGTTGGACATGATTGAGCGACTGAACTGAACTGATCACCTAGGAAGATAATAGAGTATGAATATTGATCCACTGGGCAATTATATTTCTAATTACTTATGATGAAATATGACTTTTACTGTAAGTAATTTTCATCTGAGTTTGGGTGAAACTGAACTCCCAGAACTTCCGAACTGGAGACTTAACCACAAGCATGAAGTCTTTCTTGCAAGTATCAGATGTAAGTCCTTAGACTATTTATACAGAACAGTCAGATATTTATCATTTAACTTCTCATTAAATCGGTGATTCAAAGGAAAGAACACAGAACTGGTATTCTAGAACTGCTTGTGACTTCCTATGTGACCCTGGCCACTAATGAAGTCTCTTATACCTTAACTTCCCTCATTTTTCACATAGAAATACCTGTGTTATATATGTTTTATTGTGATGATAAATAGGAGTATAGTTGCCAGAGTTTTCCTTCAACAAGCATGTAGGCATTATAAGGAATACAAATGTTAAGTATTTGCACTCAAGTTTATAACTTACTGGAGTCAGACTCATAAAAGTAATGTGTAGGGATTCAGAGAATGGAGGAATCTCATTCGGTGGCCTACGGGGGTGGTGGTGATGAAGATGATTTAATAAAGGAGGTAGGAGTTAAACTGGATTTTGAGTAATAGGAAAAGCGGTAGAAGAGAGTTATCTGGAAGGGATAAGAGCAGAGAGGCACTGGGATTCTCAGTCTGGCCCCCACCTTTGTTTTCAGAATCATTATTTTCTGCCCACTCCAGACAAAACAATGTTCTCAGGATCACAGACATGTGTCCAGCACATAATAAGCAAACTTTCAGGGTTCAGCTTCTACCTTTTCCATTAAAACTTCACCCAAGTGGGATTTATCATGCACTCCTCTGTATTAGTCCAGCTCTTGATAAGACCTGTTGCCTTTTTTGTAGTGCAATAGTAAACTTCCTTGCTCAATGGTGAACTTTTTTGGAGACAGGAATCTGGCTTGGCTTTGTAACTCTGTGTTTTGCTCTTATTAAGTAATCGGGAAATTTTATTCCATTGAACTTGCTTCAGGGACCTTGATATCACTCACCAACGAGAAGGACATGTTAGTATCATCTTAATATCTCTACAGGTTTTAAATTTGGGATCTGCTATTTTCCTTACATCTCTGTGAATTAGTTATTTTGTTGTTGAAAACTTACATATAAAGAAACTCAGAATGTATTTGGCTAAAATCAAACAACTGCTAAGTGTTGAAGCTGGGTAGGGCTCTTTTAACTTGAAATGGCAACCCGCTCCAATATTCTTGCTTGGAGAATTTCATTTTCAGAAGAGTCTGGCAGGTTGCAGTCCATGAGATTGCGGAGTAGGACTGAGCAAGTAACACACTTACTCTGTGCACTACACCTGTGCACCCTGGCATGAAATGGGGGGGTGGTAGGGTAAAGTGTATTAATACTTAATTCTCAGAGCTCTAGTTTTCTCATTTATAAATGGGAGTAATAGCACAGACCTCATGGGATTGTTCTAATTTTTTTGCGGGGGTGGGGTGGGGTGGGGTGCTGTGCCACTTGTGGGATCCTAGTTCCCTGACCAGGGATCACACCTTAATCCCCTGCATTGGAAGCTCAGAGTTCTAACCATTCATCAGCAGAGAGAATTCTCTGTTATGAGAATTAAATGGAAAAACATATGAAATCTCTAGCTCAATGACTAGCACTTAGTGGTCCCTTCTCATCAAACTTCAGATTCATATACATATAAAAAGATAAATTAGAAGTAACCAGTTTTGGAGTGCAAAGAAGATGGATCCTACAGAGAGGAAGGCCCTGTCTGTAAACTTTTATAGGTTCCAGCCTCTGAGTCACATCATGAGAAATTTTATCAGGCAGTATCCCAGGTGTAAAGAATGTGCCTGTCAACGCAGGAGATGCCAGTCCATCTCTGGGTTGGGGGAGATCCCCTGGAGAAGGAAATAACCACCCACTCCAGTATTCTTGCCTGGGAAATCTCATGGACAGAGCCTCGTGGGCTACTGTTCACAGGGTCACAAGATAGTCCGACACGACTTAGCAAATAAATGACATCTTGTAAAGACTTAAGATTTTGCATCTTCCCTCACGTCCACCCTATCATATTCTTTTCCTGCCTTAGCATGTGTCACCTGCAAGGACTATAGTTGTGTGATTTGTCCAGCTTTGAGGTTTGAGGTTGGCTGAATAATCTCCAAGGCTGGGACCTTAAAAAAATTAGGACCTGGGCTTCCCAGATGGTTCAGCGGGTAAAGAATCCACCTGCCATGCAGGAGACACAGGAGACACGGGTTCAATCCCTCCGTGGGGAAGATCCTCTGGAGGAGGATATGGCAACCCATTCCAGGATTCTTGCCTGAAAAATCCCATGGACAGAGGAGCCTGGTGGGCTACAGTCCAAAGTGTTGCAAAGAGTCGGACACGACTAAAAAAATTAACCAAACCATAAATCTTTCCTATCGGGACTTTAAATAACTACATGGAGGAGCCTATATTAAAAGCAAAAGGGGGAGGAGGCTCATGGATGGTAGTTGACGCCAAACCCACGTAAAACTAAATAAGTGATTTCTAAATCTTTTTCCGGGCGGCGCGCGGATCCGGGGGATACTCTTAAGATTTCTCTTGCGCTCCTAACTCCAAAAATTGGCTGCATTTTAAAAGAAAAGGATTTCAGCTTTGGTGGGTTGGTGGCAAAGGTGAACAGACGGGGAATGGTGGGGGAGACCCAGAGGATTCGATTCCTCTGTCTGCCTACTCGCTGGTGGTCACAAGCCCGGGCTAACCGCCAAGGGCCCGCGGAGGCCCGGGCCGGGCCAGGTCAGTACACAGGCCGGAGGTGCACGTCCAAGGCCGGGGTTTCCGACCCCTGGGGGTTGGCTTTCGGGCCCTCTTCACGCTTGGGGGCCTCCGCGGGGAAGTCCACAACCCAGGAACCAGACCTAAGGGCGGCAGTGCCCGCGACCCCGGCCTCCGCAGGCAAATAAGGGGTCCTCCCGCCGCTCTCCCCTGGGGCCCCGGCAGGGAGCTAGACTTAGCGACCCCCGCTCGGCGGCCCCGCCCCTCCCCGCCAGCCCGCGGTGACTTCCACCCTCCCCCAACGCTAGAGGGGCCCCGCCCCCTCCTCGCGGGCTAACGAGTGTCCTCGCGCGCTCGCCCCTTCCCACAGCGTGAGTGTGAGTGAGCTATCCTCCCACCGCGGCCCCCTCACCATTGTTTCCCGTCTTCACCACAAGCCCCTGAATGTAGCCCTTCTCCCATTGGTGTTTACCACCTCCCGCCCCGGTTTAACCAGTGCCCTGGGGCCCCTAGAACGAAAGGAAGGGGCACCCCCAAACCCTTTCCTCCGCGCCTCCTAACCAGGGTCTCCTGTGCGCTTGTTCCCTACCCCCGCCCGGGTCAGGACTCCATTCAGGGCTCCGTCCCTCTCTCCCCTCCCCCTCTCCCCCCCTCCCCCCTCCCCTGGCTCCTTTTCTCCCTCGGCCCCCTCCCCTCAGCGGGTCCTCCTCTTTCTCTCCCCCTCTCTCCTCCCCCTCCCCATCCCTTCCCCCCCACAATGCAGTTCGCGGCGCGGCGGACATGGCGGTGGAGCCCTGAGCTCGTCGTGTCCTGGCCTCCAGCGGCGGCGGCGGTGACGGCGGCAGCGGGAGGCGGAGGGGGAGCGGGAGCCACTGAGATGAGGAGGCGCCGCGCGCGCCTGTAGCTCGCGGGCCTCGCAGGTACGGAGGTTCCGGCCGCGGCATAGCACCCGGCGCCCGAGGGGGTGTGCTCGAGGCAGGCCGGGCGGCCCCCTCTTCGCCCTCAGGTGCCGCGCCTCGCAGGTGTCGCGGTCCCGGCCCGAGCGCGTATCAGCCGCCCTCTTGGGGCCTGACACTTCTTTCTTTGCTGGATTGGGCATCGGGTGTCCCAGGGGAAGGCGGAGATGAGGGAGGTAGGGGCGGCGGCCTGGGCTTCCTGAGCAGGGCACCGGGGCGCTTTGGGACCGAACTCCACGGTGAGGTTGGGTCTCTCGGCCCCGAGCCGAAACCTTTAGACCCAGGCGGCGGATTTTGAGTTAACGGGATAGGAGTGAATATTCTCTGGGGTCCAGTAGGATTCCCTGTCCTGTGTGCCTTTTCTTTCGCCCTGGCTTTGATACAGACTACTATAACTTATAGACACACACACGCATATAATACATAATAAATATTTATTCCGGGATCGCCCATTGTCGGGAGGAGAGAAGGCAGAGGTGTCTGTGAGGATTTCGTTTCTTGCTCGCCCGCCTTCTCTCTTCCCCGCCCCCCAGTCGAACGGTGGTAATGAACGCTTTTGACGTGGGAAACTGAGATTCGTATTTGTAAACAGACAGCACTCGCCGAGTGTTTTGTACGCCTCCGCGAGAGATTTCAGGTCCTTTTGGTATCCGGATTGCAAAATAATGAGATATTTAGACCTGAAAGAAAGACTTCATCGGGATTTCAAGTCGTATGTGGATGCGATGAATTACTGTTATTTTAACAACATTGATTAAATTCTTTTTAGATGATCAAATTTTCAATCAGATGAATTTTGTACCTTGCGCGAGATCTTAGTTTCGGTGTACCATGTTTCTTCGTTTTGATATATTTTTAATACAAAAGTAGTTCCTTACACATTTGACGTTCTGCTCCCTTTGTGATCTTCTTAGTGTCCAGAAATGCAATTCGAATTTTGTATTGTTGGCATGCATTTAGTAATTAGCTGGAATGGATCAGGTTACCTTTTGTTTCCAAAGATCGGCGCCCACCCCGCGCCACCCCCCCACACAAGTCTTGTAGTCCCGAAATGTGTAACACTGGGTGAAGCAGAACATACCGTTTCTGTTTTAAAGTGATAAGAACTATTAGTTATTAAAATTGGATAATCCCACCTGGATATGATAATTTAGACATAATGCTATATCAGGGTGGTGAATTGTGGGATAGTTTTTTTTTTAAGTTTTTTTTTTGGTTACTATCAATCAGCATGTTCTGTATGTGAGTAAAATGTACGCTGAAATTTTCTTTAGGCTCAGAACCCTTGTATATATGTATCCTTAGATATTGTTGCACTACACTGCATCCTAATATTGATTAGTCACAACTTGTAAAATTATGAAATATTGATTCATTTAGAAAACTGCTTAAGACAATGAATTTACTAGTATCTAATGTACTATGATCCTTTTATAAACAAATTTTAGAGTGCATCTTAAAAACCGTATATTTTGGGGCAGATAGGAATTTTAAGTTGTTTTAGGCTTTAAAAAGATATTTAATGAAAAAACAAAGCTTCCTTGGAATAATACAGAACAGGAAGTGAAAAGTTATTAACATTTAATGTTTTAAGTCTAGCAAAATCTAAATACAAAAAAGAAATTAAAATCTGTTCATTGCCCTAGGTTGTTAGTAACAGATAAACTAACAAGATGTTATCATGAACATAAGTTTAGTTCAGTATTGTAAGTCACTTCTAACATTACGTTTAATTTTAACTAACGTAACTGGAAAAGAACAGTGTCTACATTATAATTTGAGACCTTTTTTTTTTGAATTTGAGACCTTTTTAAATAAAAATTTATATTTGTAATTTAAAATGTCTCTGATTAATAAAAAGCTGTTTAAAGAGAATTTTTTTTTAGTTTTGAGTAAAGTCATCTTAGTAAGAGTAGTTGGAGAACTTTCTGACCTCAAAGTTAACCTTGACATGCATAATAAGCAGGATTAATTATGTTGTATTCTTTATATAATGTGAAATCAGGATCTTTGGGTAGGAAAAGTTATGAATTTTATTTCTGCAGAAAGTTTCTGGTGTCAGAAAAGCTATAAATAAGACTTACCTATGAATGCTGATGTCAGTAAATTTTATCCTTTTTTTAAAAAAAAGACCATTTTGATAAAACAAGTTCAGTGAGATGTATTACTTCCTAATGTAAACTGCAAATGGTTGAATTAAGTTGTTACTGCAGATAGAAATATGTTCTAAAAAAGAACAATTCTAGAAAGATTAACAGAAGGGGAAGGGATACTGTAGTAAAGCAGGATATGTAGACTTTTTCTCTTCTTATTTTTCGAGGAATTAAGATTGCTTTGCTGAGCCCAGGTTGAGTGCATGAGACAAGTGCTCGGGCCTGGTGCACTGGGAAGACCCAGAGGGATCGGGTGGAGAGGGAGGTGGGAGGGGGGACCGGGATGGGGAATACATGTAAATCCATGGCTAATTCATTTCAATGTATGACAAAACCCACTGCAATGATGTAAAGTAATTAGCCTCCAACTAATAAAAATAAATGAAAAAAAAAAAAAAGATTGCTTTGCTGAACTAAGTAAATAGAATTTTTTTACACTAAGTTTATACCTGTTTTATTTCAGGCATTGTGCTAGACATGTCCATGTATTTTTTTCACTTGTTCAGTGTAACACCCCTATGAAACCTGTTTTATAAATGAGGAATCTCTGAGTCAGATGTTGGTTAAGTTGCTTAAGATCATAGAGTTATAAAGATTGAAAGCAGCTCTGCATACTCTTCTTATTACATACGCCATGTTGCTTCTCAGATGTATCAAGAGTTCTCCCAGTTTTGTAGGAGGAACTGCCTGAGGTTGCTCATTTAATCATCAAACATTTGCGTTTGTACTTTATGCTAGACATTGCTACATTTTAGAGGTATAAACTTATTGAAGATATTTTCTTGCTTTAGGGAATTCAATCATGTAATCAGTTCAGTCGCTCAGTCATGTCCGACTCTTTGCGACCCCATGGACTGCAGCATGCCAGGCTTAGGCTTCCCTGTCCATCACAGCTCCTGGAGCTTGCTCAAACTCATGTCCATCGAGTTGGCGATGCCATCCAACCATCTCATCCTCTGTCATCCCCTTCTCCCTCCTGCCTTCGCTATTTCCCGGCATCAGGGTCTTTTCTAATGAGTCAGTTCTTTCCATCAGGTGGCCAAAATATTGGAGTTTCAGCATCAGTCCTTCCAATGAATATTCAGGACTGATTTCATTTAGTTTAGGATTGACTGGTTTGATCTCCTCGCTGTCCAAGGGAGTCTCAAGAGTCTTCTTCAACACCACAGTTCAAAAGCATCAATTTTTTGGCACTCAATTTTCTTTATGGTCCAACTCACATCCATACATGACTACTGGAAAAACAGCTTTAACTATATGGATCTTTGTCGGCAAAGTAATGTCTCTGCTTTTTAATATGCTGTCTAGGTTGGTCATAGCTTTTCTTTCAAGGAGCAAGTGTCTTTTAATTTCATGGCTGCAGTCTCCATCTGCAGTGATTTTGGAGCCCAAAATAAAGTCTGTCACTGTTTCCACTGTTTCCCCACCTATTTGCCATGAAGTAATGGGACCAGGTACCATGATCTTTGTTTTTTGGATGTTGAGTTTTAAGCCAGCTTTTTCACTCTTCTCTTTTACTTTCATCAAGAGGCTCTTTAGTTCCTCTTAGCTTTCTGCCATAAGGGTGGTATCATCTGCATATCTGAATTTATTGATATTTCTCCCAGCAATCTTGATTCCAGCTTGTGCTTCAAACAGCCCAGCATTTTGCTTGATGTACTCTCCATATAAAGTAAATAAGCAGGGTGACATACTACAGCCTTGACATACTCCTTTCCTAATTTTGAACCAGTCTAGTGTTCCATGTCCGGTTCTAACTGTTGCTTCTTGACCTGCATACAGATTTCTCAAGAGGCAGACACACAATAGTCTGGTAGTTTTAAGTGGGTATTTGATTTACAATGATAATAAGTAACTTACTGCATAGTTACTATTTGTTAATTTCTTTCCAAAGATCTTGGACTATTAACTCAGTCTTCACAACAGCTTATAAATTATCAGCATTTATAGGTGAGGAAGGTAGCTGCAGAAAGACTAAATAGCTTGGATAAGATCTCAGAACTAGTTTGCTGCTGAGCCAGGAATTGAACTCTGGTGTTTAAGTCTAGAGTTAGAGCTCTTAACCATTATGCTATGTTGCACCTCAAGCTTAGGTTGTCAACATTTAGTATGCAGAGAGTGTTAAATTCAAATAGTTACATAGGTTGTCAAAAACTATCTTGTAAGAACATAGAGGATGAATTATACATGATGATGAAATTTAATTGCATTTTGTTAGTCTTAGCTGTACATTGTAGTTCAAATAATTTAATCATTAAAATTGATTGGTCATTAACTATTTAAGGTCAATCTTGTGCTGAGTGTTAGTTTAGGTCAGTGATATTCAAACTATGTGTGGGGAATCTTTTTGGGGTTTCTGAGTCATAATTGTTTTCATAGTAATGTTAAGAAGATTTTTCCCTTTTCATTTTCTCACCTGGAATGTAGAATGATATAGATACATGTGAAAACATTATTGCTTTGATTGCTATTGGAATGTGTAATCGTATGTATATTTTCTGCTTTTGCTTTGAGATATAATTTTCAGTACCGTAAAACTCACTCTTTTAAAACATGCAGTTCAGGGACTTCCCTAGTGGTTCAGCGGTTGAGATTTCATGCTTCCAATGCAGGGAACACAGGTTTGATTCCTGGCTGGGGAACTAAGATCCCGCATTCCACGAGGTGTGGCCCCTCAAAAAAGCATGCAGTTTTCAGTGTATGTTCATAAGCTTATGTAACCATCACCATTATTTAATTACAGAACATTTTCATCTTCCTTCAAGAAACCCTGTGCCCTTTAGCAATCACCCTGCATTCCGCCCACCCCCCACCCCCCCAAGCTTTTGGCAACCACTGAACTGCTTTTCTGTCTTTGAAACTGCCTACTTTGGACGTTTCATATAAGTAGAATCATATAACATGTGGCTTTTTGTGCCTGGTTTCTTTCACTGAAGCATAATGTTTTCAAGGTTCATCCATAATATATCGTGTATTAGCACTTCATTCCTTTTTATGGTTGAATAATACTACATTGTATGGAATGTATTCTATGGCGATACCACATATTGTTTATCCATCATTTGATAGACATTTGGGTTTTTTCCACTTTTTGGCTATTACAAATACTGTTGCTTTGAACATTCATGTATAAGTTTTTGTGTGGATATATGTTTTAATTTCTCTTGGATATCTACCCAGGAGTGGAATTGCTGAGGGTTTTGATACATTTATGTTTATCTTTATGGAGGACCTGCCAAACTATATTCCTGAGAGGCTTCACTATTTTTTATTTTCACTAGTAATATATGAGTTCTAATTTCTACCCATCCTCACCAACACTTGTTATTGTCCATCTTTTAAATTATAGCTATCTGATTGGTGAAGTGGTATCTCATGGTGGTTTTGATTTGCAGTTCCTTAATGACTGACGATGTTGAGCATCTCTTCATATGTCTGTTGGCTTTTCATATATTTTATTGGTAGAAATGTCTATTTAAATTCTTTGCTCATTTAAAAAATTGGATTATTTGTCTTATTGTTATAAGAGTTTTTTATATATTCTGGATATTAGATCCTTGTTAGATAAATGATATGCAAAAATGTTCTCCCCTTTTGTGAATTGTCTATTCATTTTCTTTTTCAAATGTAAGAATTGTGGCAAAATATGCATAAAAGTTACCATTTTAATCATTATTAAGTGTATATTCAGTGATATTAGGTACATTCACAGCATTGCACAAATCACCATCACCATCCATGTTCAGAACTTTTTCCTTTTTCCTGTTCTGTGCCCACTAAGCAATAACTCTTCATTCCCTCCTCCCCTCAGTCCCTAGCAGCCATCATTCTACTTTCTGTTTCTATGACTTTGACTACTGTATGTAATTAGAGTCATATGATATCTGTCTTTTTGTGACTTGTTTAGTTCATTTAGCACAGTGTCT